CTGACATTTTAATTTTTTAAAAATATTTTCTGTATGGGATTTTTTCAGAAGTACATGCACAGACATTTGAGGATAATAATTATTTATCTTAAATGAAGAATAAATCGATACGTATTTTTATTAATTTATGTAAATTTTTGTTGTTTCATTAAAAACGCACATATCTCTTTGTTCTTTATTTAAAAGAAATCTTTCTTTAATCACCACCTACCAAAAATTTGTTTTCATATACAATACCGCTGAGTCCAATAACTCTGTAAAAATCAGAGATCGATTTTAAAACTGTATCGATGTTATAAACAGGTCCCCACCCACCTTTTAAACTGATAAAAAGAAAACCGATATTTTTCTTTTTTGATATGTGTCGTGCCTAAGGAAGGTCTAATAAATGCTAATATACAAAAGTTATTTCCAAAATAATTTTCCCTTATTTTCTATGAGTGGACCCATATATCTAAGTAGTTCTACACTGACAATTAAGATTATTAAGTTTTTATTAGTCTGGATCAGTGATTCTTAACTGTCATGCCACAGCATACTAGTGAAATATTGTCACTGGATATATTAAGAAACAGACAACTTTAAGGGTTAACGTGATTATAATTTATTTCCTTAGGACTGGAATTTTGATCCTAATTAATCAGATCTCCATTTTCATGTGACAAGTGTTGCAGCCTAAGAAAAGTCTAAAAAATGTTAATGTACAAATGAAAATGGTGATCTGATGAATTAGAACCAAAATCCCGGTTCTAAAGAAATAAATTATAATCTCATGAACCCTTAAATTTGTCTGTTTCTTAATATAATTAATATTTGCTCTGTTTTTACATTGAGCTCTCTAGATTAAATCTTCCTTGGAAACTATCCATACAGATTACCAAATAACTTCATTAACTATATATATATATATATATATATATATATTTTAAAAAGACATTTTTTATGTTTAACGTTATTTATAGAAACAAGTATTTAAGCAAATGCTCTGTTTATGATAAACAGTATTAAATAACATTTACCAGCCTGAATGTCCAAGAAATTTTCATAGAAAATATTCGTTCTTTGACAGGAAAGAAATAAAAAAAGAAAATTTTCTATGAAAATTTCTCGGACATTCAGGCGGTAAATGTTATTTAATACTGTTTATCATAAACAGGCGACTTGTATCTATAAATAACAACGTTAACATAAAATGTCTTTAATAAATAAATTGTCGGACCTTGTCCATTTCTTAATATATATATATATATATATATATATATATATATATATATATATATAATGAATATAAATTCTTAAAATCAATCAGGTCAGGTGGTAATAAATTTATTTCATGGACTTCAGATCCATCTCTTCAGGCCAGTTTTTCATTAATAAATGGATTTATTATCACCTGACCTGATATATTTTTAAGGATTCTATATTCATTATTATATTGCTCTGTTCTTACATTGAGCTCTCTGTGAATTTCTATCCTCCTTGGAATTATCCCTAGTAATCATCAATTGATATATATATTGTTGGAGTTTTGGGGTACCCTGGTGTACTAGTTAGCCAGCCAAAATGAGCTGACTCATTTTATAGTTCACCAATAGAAGGGTTAACCAATCAGAAGGCTTAAAATATTCAATGCGATGTGTATAAAGGCGGCCATGTTTTTCCCAAATATGCACTGCCAGCATTTGGTATCGAAGACTGAAGTATTACGGAACAGCTACTGGTGGTATTGGCGATATAGTCAGATTCAGTAGAGTGTCTGACTCGTGAGTGTTAATCTTTAACGTTGTTTTATTGAACAGATTAAGTACTGTGCTGTATTCTATATTCATAGACTATGGTGAACACACACACACACACACACATATATTTCATTAAATAATATAGACAAGTGTTGTCTATTTATTTTATGTAAATTCTTTCCATATCGTCTGATAAGCTTAATAACATTATCATTAAATGAAGAAAGAAAATCACAATATTGATTCATATTTTTTAATCCAATCTAAGCTTTTGGCTTACATAAGCCATTAACAAAGATGTCAATTACTGTACAATATATTAAGCAATATATGGACAAGACAGTGATGATAGTCTGTTATTGTTTACATGGATGATTTCCAAGCAACGACAAACACGTGCAGATAAGATGCTAGAAGCGAAAATTGCACTGCAGCTCATGACATCATACATGATCACGCGAGAGTGAATTCAAGAAGTATTAAGTATGGGAAGCCGTTGGTATAAACCAATGGCTTCTGTTACCAATTACAGACATTTAAGGATATTTGTAGAGATTCCATAGTTGATTTTGTTTAGCTATATATATATATATATATATATATATATATATATATATATATATATATATATATATATAATGTGTGTAATGATACAATGTTTTCATTTGCTCTTAGGTGTGCCATTGCTTAAAAAGGTTGAGAAACACTGCACTAGATATTATGACATCTGAATTTCTTTTAAGCGTTATCAGTTATTATTGATAATTTTTGAAAAGTTTTGCAAGCCTCTCAAGATCTCTATAAATTGAAACTCTGTGTCTTATGATCACCCACCCCAACCTGATTTTTATGAGTCAAACCCGACGTTCATAAACCTAGATGAGATCTTTATTTGTTCCTCTTCTGTCTCGTGAATTGTCTCACATTGCAGCTGGCTGAGTGACAACACAAATCCTCTCGCAAGAATTTTTTTTGTATTTTGCTCTTTGCTTTTTCTTTTGACCAGGTCTGCTTTTTACAATTGCAACAATTGTCTCCAAAGGCTTCCCAGAGTTTCTCAATATTTGTTGTTCTTGCAAAACTGAGGCTTCATAAACTGTTGACAAGCTGTGAGACAAATATGGGAGTGGGGAAAAAAATTAGTCATAACCATGCTTTTAGCTTTAATGGAAATATTGTCAAGACCAGTCAACTCCTACGTAAAATATCTGGTAATAAAAAGACTGGTGCCATGTTTCTGTGACTGTGTAAAAGATTTATTCTATCATCTCTTGAATTACCTAGCACTAGAGCATCTGGAATGTCAGAGTGCCAACTGAAAATCCATTACGTGATGATGCGATTCTATTTCTTTATATACAAGGTTGGATCAAAAAGTATCGGGACTGGTGCTATGAAAAACTACAACATGTATCAATTCAGGATTTAATCTCCTTTAAAGTAATCCCTTCTGAAGACACACAGTTCCTTCATTGCATTCTCTTGGTTTTCCTCAATGTCTTCAAATCTTGTTCTTTCAAGTGTGGTTTGATTTTTGGAAAGAGGAAAAAGTTACAATGGGTGAGATCTGGAGAATATGGTGATTGTCAGATCTGGGGAACATTGTGTTTGGTCAAAAATTGCTGCACATGCCTTGGTCACTGATGAAAGCTCTGTGGTGAGGTGAAACGGCCACACTCTACACACTTTCCTTCCAAGCACCACTATAAACAACAAAAATGAGTGAGAACATTATAACTTAGTGCGTATGTGCAATAGAGTTCAAGGTCAGTCTGTGCTAAGCGGATTCACTCTGCACACTTTAGATCTGTTACTATAGCAACAGTTTCGATACTTTAGATCAGACCTTGTATACATATTTTTTTCTTTGCTTATATATTTTCTCTAATCTTTCAACTGTGATGACAATGTAACTTTTGTTTGGCATTTGACATGTAATAATGAACATCACAATGTGATAGGATTTCTGTTGTAAAAATCAACATTCCAATCAGGAGAAATAACAAAATTTTTTTCTCTTGTATAAATAATAAAGATGGATTTAAACCGGTATGAAAATAGTGCTTTTGCAAAGAGTAACAATACTAATTTTGATTATTATTATTTGCCACATCCCTTCAGAACATGTTTGTTCATGGCTCTCCAAAACTTCCTATCCATTGTAAACCTTAAGAATTTTTATGCTACCCTCTCCACACACTTTTGCCATCCATTCACACAAGCTGCCTTCCTCTATCTCTCTTGCCCTGGGTATGATGATAAACTACAACTGGTAGCAAGCCCTCTGATCGGGAGGTTTTTAGGAGAATGGAACCACCTATTAACTACTGTTGTTACCAGATCCACCCTGACCCAGGGTGGTAGCATCTGTTAGGGTCTCAGCTATGGACAAATAGTGATTCCCCAAACAAAAATCAACATTACATTTTTACAGTAAAAACATCAGCAATACATACAGGGTGTCCATAAAGTTCGTGTGCACTTTAAAAAATTTATAACTATTTGTATTTGCAATAGAAATAATCTCTAAAAAATGTTATAAAGTTTAATGTACCTAGTTTTAAGTATAGCTAAAATATCTAATGTGATTTCAGGCATTACTGTAAATCAGTTGGCAAATGTTTTCCGTGAACTGCAAAATCGTATTACCGTTTGTATTGCTAATGATGGAGGACCTGTGGAAATTTAAACAAAATTTCAATAAAACCTTAAAAAAATATAGATTTACTTCTTTCTAATCCTTTTTACAAATGATTTCTATCGCAAATACAAATAAAGTTATAAATTTTTTAAAGTGCATACGAACTTTATGGACACTGTATTTATTGTAAATATACCAACAATACATTTTGTCTGTAGTTGAAGGCATACAACTGCGTTCAAAATATTTAGATTTCCTACAATTTCTTAAAGAAATCAAATTGTATTCCAAACCATTATCTCAAAAAAAAACAATAAAATAAAAATAAAAATAAATCCTGACAATATAAAATTAGTTTCTGCCTTTAAATACTCTGTGAAGAGTTGATAAGGCACAGAAAAATGAATCCATCAATTACTACACTGTTCACATTCATGCAACAATCTTATTTAGTAACACTCTACCTTGACTGGCTTTTGGACTTTGTATTGGATGAACAATTATTTAAAAAAAAAAAAAAAAAAAAAAAAGAAATTAGTCCAAATATGAAATAACATGAATGAAAATGGCTAATTTCTGTTGTTTCTGAAAAACACGGTAAAAAATAAGAACAGGCTTACTTTTGCTGGAAGGTATCAACTGGCCTGTCACACAGCAAATGGCTCCGATTAAAAGGAAACTGGCCACCAAATGTTTTCGAGACAACCTTTCAAAAAGAAAAACAAAATAAGAAATACAAAATGGAAAAGAAGAACTCAAGCTAATGAAATTCCTGAAACAAAAATCTTCATTCATTTGGTCAGGCCATTTCTCTTTATCATACCATTTTGACTTTTATACCATCTGATCATCATTCTTGGTGAGTTGCCGAGACAAAGCATTCTTACTAATGTCATACATTGATTCTTTCCAACCAGTTTCTACTATCACAATGTTAGTCACTCTGGTTCTGAAAATAGGGTTTAGAATATGACAACTGCATTCTCTGCAGATGGTTAAGATCCCACAAAAGGGGCCTCGTTCTGGGTGTATGTTTGCAGACGCCAGTATAAACTGGACTAAAGTTTATCTTCTGACTCCATATTTTGATATGAAATAACTCAACAATGGTGGATATGATATTAAATTAATCAACCTAATCTTGCCTCACTTATGTTCAGTAAACCTGGAAATTTTTTTCTTTTTTTTTCTTTCTTTTTTGCTGTTTCTTTTCTTTTTCTTTCTTTCTTTCTTTGCAGTTTCTTTTCTTTTTTCTTTCTTTCTTTGCAGTTTCTTTTCTTTTTTTCTTTGTGGTTTCTTTTCTTTTTTTTCCTCTCTTTTCTTCCTTTTTCTTTTTTCCCTTTAAAACAATCTCTAAATTATTTCCTCTTTTCTTTTTCTTTCTGCATTTCCTGTCTGTTCTCTATCTCCTCTCTGCCCATTTATTTTCTTCTCTGTCCATTCCCCCCTTCTCAATCCCTGGATGAAATGACTTATGCATGAAGCACAAAACAATGTATGCTAGATCCGTTAATGTCATTAAGCCTTCACTAAAAGAGCAAAGTGTCTTTTCAGTGTAAGCCCTGCTGCCGCCTTAATGGCATTTTATTAACTGTTGCATCTGTCTATGATAACGGTTCTATTGGAATTGGTTCTTCAGGTTGATGCCAAGCTTAGCAGACATAACAGAACTCTTTAAGATAGAAGAGGTTTTTAAGCAACAAAAAGAGACATTATGAAAAGAATGTAGTAGATATTGCTCTATTGTTTGCAAGGTACTTATGGTTTTAAATATGTTCTTATAGAGAACCCTTTGTGCTAGCCACCAGGAAAGTGGCTTGTTTTTCACCAACATGAAGTAGAAATATTATATCGAATTGATTCCTGGGTCTACTGCTAGGAATTTTGGTTCACTGTGTCATACTAGGCAGTGAACTTTTTTTTTTTGCCAGAATTTATCTTACCCCTGTATAAGTCTATCAATCTCCCATGTATTAAATATTGATGCCACATCTGGTCAGGTGCATATGCTATGTATTTAAAAATTCTTGATAAAATTCAAAAGAACAATCTGCAATATTATAGGTCCTGATCTGACATCTTAACTTCAGCCATTTTCCCAATCGACATAATGCAGCTTCCCTGTACTTTTTCTATAAATACTTTCATAGTAATTGCTCTGATGAACTTTCCTCTATGGTACCTAGATTCTATGAATTTAAGTGCATTACTAGAGTGGCAGCAAGGTATCCTCACTTTACAGTTGGTTGGTGGTTTTGTTTTATGGCATATCAAAACCTCAGTGGGTCATTTAATGCCAACAAAATTTTTATAATAGATTCATAGTGATAGTTTGGTAAAAACAGTGTGTATGTATACATATATATTTGAACCATTTTTCAATTACTTTTTCTAACAAAATTTTTCTGTTTATTAATATTTTGCTTAAGATATCTTTTGTTATCCCAATGCACCAACGGATATCAGTTTTATTCTTTCTGTCCTCTGTTAAAACACTTCACAGATATTTAAATATTTGTACCTGTTTGATTTTGCTATCCCCAATTTGTAATTTGCACTTTGGTCTTCCCCTTTTGCTAATAACCATGCATTCTGTCTTAGCAGGACTAAAGCCACATCCATGCTGTCTATATTTTTATTTATTTATTTTTTTAAATAATTTCAGTCCAAGCAAGGTGATAATGCACTGGAAGGGGAGGGGGTTACAGGGTGTGAAAGAGAATGAGGAAACAGACTGGGGAAGTTTGAGGAAAGAACAGAAAAGGAACAGGGTTCTAGAAGACAGAAGATGGCAAGATATCAGGGAAGCAAGAAATTGGAAAGGATTTTGAGGATGAATCAAATGATGACATTGCTCAAGATTGAACCATAACCATCAAATATATGTGGATGTGTGAGTAACATAATGGTTATCAGCTCAGAAAGTGGAATCGGGAGTGTTAAGTTCAAATTCTGACTAAGTTCGTTTCATTCACTTTCATACTAATACTTTTGGAAAAGGTATGAATTCATCTTTGTCCATCTGAGTCAAATAGCATGGCAGACTGTGCTCTTTTGTTTTGGATGACAGTCTGTCTAGGAGAAGGAAAAGTTTGAATTCAAAACTAGAACTGAAAAAAAAAAGGAAGGATAGGGTCTCTTATTGAGCAATTTTGCTGAAGATACACTCTATGACACAAATAGGTTGCAGGTCTAGGGATTGTGCATATGTATATATAGGAATATGTATCCATATATATATATCCACATAAAATGAGAACAAATTGAGTATAATTACATTGTATGTAACATTTAACTTAAAAGAGGACTCAATATATAGTATAGCTAAATATTATTTATTTTAGGATATTAAAACATTTTTAAAAATCACTACATAATGGCTATTATGTTTCAACACCATAAATTTGTCTCATCGGACGATGATGGACTCTCATGTCAATTTTGACATGTGAGGATCTGACAACATCATTCAGCTATTACGTTTGTGTCATATGTGACACTTCAGTCCCATTAGTGACTTGTATACAAGTCCACATATTGTGCAACAGTGAGGATCTCAGGACATAGCAACTGGAATATTTGCTGACACTTTTTGGCAGTCTTTCATCTCTTAGCTGATCAATACGACTGAGTTCAAAATTTCTGATACCACTCTGGCACAAATATCTTCAGTTATTTCTATCATCACTCATCATTGCAACATGACCAGCCCAGCAAAACTGTGACTGCACCAGGAAGGTCTCAATTCCACCAATGTTGCATTTTACAAGAAGATCAGCATTGAACAGCCTATTATCAAAAGTTTGGCCACAGATTGTGCAGAGACAATTTTTGTGGAAGACATCCAGCTGACTGATATTGGGCCTATATGGGGTTCACAATTCTGATATTATATATAAGTTACAAAGAACTTGGTAAACCGAATGGGTAATTCCAAGGAGGATGAGATCCTGAGAGCTCAATGTGAATACAGAGCTAATATTTAATGAAAAAACAGACCACTTTAAGTACCATTACAATAATTTATTTCTTTAGTGAAATCCTTTTTAAAGGACTCCAATCATCAGGTAAAAATTCCATTTACTTTTTTTTTTATTTGGAATTGTTACCTGATGATCCGGAGTCCTTTAAAAGGATTTTGGAAATAAATTATTGTAATGGTACCTAAAGTGGTCTGTTTTTCATTATATATATATATATATATATATATATATATATATATATATACTCAAATATGGTAAAGTTACCAATACAGTACAGTGCTTGACGAACGAGGAAAAAGAAGAACAGAGAAATGCACACACATATATATATTTAGGCAGCAATCCTTCGTTTATGCATGTTTCATTAAAAATGACAGACAAGGTACTACAGTTAAGCTTTTTATTTAATTTTTCTTGTCTTTGAACAAGAGCTTTCTTTTCTGGATGAAGAGTGTATAAAAATTGTCCAAATGTTTTATATTTCCGAGTGCTTTTGGCTATACCTTTAGCCATTATCAGCAATGATTTAATTTTCAACAATTGCGTGTGTGCATTATGTATGTTTTAAAGGTTATAGAGAATGTTTTTTAATTTCGAATACAGTTAACATTCAGAAATTCAAAATATCTCTTAACAATACTAAAACATAGACATAATGCACACACTCAATTAAGCTGAAAAATCGAATCATCCTTGATAATGGCTAAATGTATAGCCGAAAGTGCTTGGAAATATAAAACATTTGGACAGTTTTTATACACATTTTGTCCAGAAAAGAAAGCTCTTGTTCAAACACAAGAAAAATTAAATAAAAAGCTGTAGTACCTAGTCTGTCGTTTTGAATGAAAAACACACACACGCACACACACATGTATATATATATATATAAATAAAAAGGTACCTATCTACTACCTTCATGCAATCAAAAGTTTCATATGCACCAATATTAGATATGGCAACACAATCATCAGGCTATCCAGAAAGACAGAACAAAAATGGTGGCTAGAGTTGGACAATATATAGCTTTGGTCAAGCAGAAGTTGGAAGATTAAAAGTGATACAAAATGAAGAAGCATATATATATTTTAATCATTTCACCCCAAGCAAAGCAATAAAGCCACTAAAACACTCAGTGTAAAAGAATGTGAAAAAAAGAAGAGTGAGAAACAAGAGAATCTTTTTTGCCTTCCAACAGTATGGCTGTTGCTAACCTCCAGAAGAGTGACACATTGTGCCTTCTCAGGCTAACATTTTCCATTGGAATGAAGTGGAAAGATTATATTGAATCAATTTTTTTTCTTCTATTAAGAAAGTTGATTTAGTGTGTTGTGCTAGAAAATTTTTCTTGGCAGAATCTATTTTACACCTTTCAAAGTTTACCATTCATCCATGCCTTGAATATTATTTTCACATCTGATCTGGTGCTCCTGTTATATATTTAGAGATTCTTGACAAAATTCAAAGAAGAATCTGCAAAATTAGTGGTCCTGACCTGGCATCTCAGCCAAGTCACTTTCCCACCACTATAATATTTCTTCACTGTGCCTTTTTAAATGTTTTTAGGATAATTGTTCTAATGAGTTTTCCTCTATGGTACCTAGACTTGATTAATTTAAGCACTATACTAGATTGACGGCAAGGTCTCATCACTTTACAGTTGATTTTCCTTTATGATATCTAAACTTGATTAATTTAAGCATTATACAGGGTGACCCCAAAAAAC